CGTGGAGGGGTCCACGCGGAATAATAAAGCCGCTCAATCCATTTCTCTAACCTAATTTTTATTCACTTTCTTTACCAATTTTAAAATCAATTTTTTGGTTAAGAAGAACCAATTAAACCCTTAATTTACGGTAATCAACTTTAGTAACTAAAAGAAAAATATTAATCAGTAGTAATCAATCTCTCAACAAAAAATATAAAATTGTTCACAAAAGAGAGAGAGAAAACAAAAAACAACTGAGAAAGAAGAAGAAGAAGAAGAAGAAGAAGAAGATTAGTGCATAGTCTTTTTGCAATTCATACACACATCGAAACAGAGATTATAAAGTTTCCAACTTTTTCTTTCAATTCCCAGAATTCGATCTTCAAATTTGAAAAAAAAAAACAAGAGCAAGAATTGAGGAATCGAATCCCAAGAATCGAGGTCTTCTCTCTTCTTTCTTCTTTCACTTTTTTTTTTCTCTCACCACAAATTACGGGTCTCTGTCTTTGTGTCTGCGTTTTGTCTCACCATGTTGTGTTCCTAATCTTACGCTTCTTCTTGATGTTCTTCATTACAAGCTTCGTTGAGATCGAGCTTTTTGTTTGAATTGTATGATTTGTGGTTTGGTGCATTTTCGCTGACTCGAAAACTAGGGTTTCTTGTTTGATTTCGTGTTTTCCCCCAATTTTGGTGTACATTTGGTATTTTCCTCTGATTTCAGATCTATGAGGTTTTGTAATGATCATGTAATTGACTTATTGTTTCTTTCTAAGTAATCCTTGGAGAATTCTGTAATTTTTAGATTCAGATATGTTTTTGATTTTGGGTATAAGGGTGTGAGATAAAGTTGTCAACTTTAAGCTTGTTGATGTGATTTTGAAGTGAGTGTTAGCTAATTTATGTCATCTTGTTGCAGGTGTGAAGCAGTAAGAATTCTAATCAATCACTAGATGCATGACATATGAAAGCTGTTATACATAGTTGGAGTGGAACTTGTTCGTTGCGCTTATCGAACTCGCTGTTTGCTTGTACATAAAGTACTTAACTAAATATCTGGTTCTGGGGGGAAGCTTAAGGGGAGAGTAAAATGGAGACTGCCAAAGCTTGGCTGAATAAGTTAAAATCTAAGGACAAGGTGAAATCTTCGAAAAAGAAGGAAACCACTAGTAATGTTAAGGAAGGACCGAGAACAGCTGGAGGTGAAGAAGCACTTTCAAATATAACAAAGGAGAAGGCTGCTGCTGCCAAACTATATATTGAAAACCATTACAAAATGCAAATGCAGAGTCTGCAGGAAAGAAAAGAGCGGTATGGTTTCATTACATATTTTCAAGTTGTCATGATGGGAAATGTGAACTTCCATCCAAATCCTTAGCTCTTTTTTGGTATCTACATTTCATGCAGACGCAAAATGCTAGAAAAAAAATTAGCTGCTGCAGAAGTCTCTGAGGAAGAGCAAAACAACTTGCTAAAGGATTTGGAGATGAAGGAAACTGAATACATGCGCCGTCAGAGGCATAAAATGGGAGCTGATGACTTCGAGCCACTGACAATGATTGGGAAGGGTGCATTCGGAGAGGTATCATATATTTGCTTAATCTCTTGTATAGATCATAATCTGCTTTCTCAGCCTTTCATTGGCATGCATCATCTTGAAATGTTCTCTGTGATGCATCCTTCTTGAAAGTTCTTACTTCTTAGGGCATTTTTTTTTTTACCGCTGCCGAATAAGTATGGCATGCTAATTTTTATCTCTCTCTTTGCAGGTTAGGATATGTAGGGAGAAGGGAACAGGAAATGTCTATGCAATGAAGAAGCTTAAGAAATCTGAGATGCTTCGCAGAGGCCAGGTATTTAAATTCCTCCAAGTGGCTTTCGATTGACATTTGTTTAGTTGGTTGATGTGTTTGTGGAATCTGATTTTCAGGTGGAACATGTAAAAGCAGAGAGAAATTTACTTGCAGAAGTTGACAGCAATTGCATTGTCAAACTGTATTGTTCTTTCCAAGATGAGGAGTATTTGTATCTCATAATGGAGTATTTACCTGGTGGGGATATGATGACTTTACTTATGAGGAAAGACACCCTTACTGAAGATGAGGCCAGATTTTATATTGGGGAAACTGTCCTGGCTATTGAGTCCATTCACAAGCACAACTATATCCACAGGTCGGTGAAGCAGGACATATGATTTAGCTGTAACTCCCTTTGTTATTTTGTTCTAAACGTCATTTTTGTCTCCAATGTGATACAGAGATATCAAGCCTGATAATCTACTACTTGACAAAGACGGCCACATGAAATTGTCAGATTTTGGATTATGTAAACCATTAGACTGTAGTAATCTTCAAGAGAAAGACTTCACAGTTGCAAGAAACGTTAGTGGGGCTTTACAAAGTGATGGTCGCCCTGTGGCGACAAGACGCACCCAACAAGAGCAACTACTAAACTGGCAGAGAAATAGAAGGATGCTTGTAAGTTTCACTTATTCATCATCTTTTTTTTGAGAGATGTCCACTTTTGCAAGAATGATCTATCCAGTATGTTTCGTTCATTGAAAAAGTGTTCTCGCCATTGATATAGACATCTGTGTTGGATATAACTTTCAGGCTTATTCCACAGTTGGAACTCCTGATTACATTGCCCCAGAAGTTCTGCTGAAAAAAGGATATGGAATGGAATGTGATTGGTAGGTGAATCTAACTATTCACATTTGTGGTCTTTGGTTTCTTTGGTGCAAATAATTAATATGCGTGAATAATCTTGAGAGCACTCTTTTAGGTGGTCTCTTGGCGCCATTATGTATGAAATGCTCGTGGGGTTTCCGCCATTTTATTCGGATGATCCAATGACAACTTGTAGGAAGGTAATTAATCCATTCCTTTCTGTCCTTTCATTTTAATATCGGACGCAGACTGGCGATTTTAAGTCTTACATTCAATTTTAGTTTTTTGTATCTCTTTTAATCTGGAAACTTACCTTCTCTCGAATCATTATCTTCCCCTTTATACAGATAGTAAATTGGAGAAATTACTTGAAATTCCCAGATGAGGTTAGACTATCACCAGAAGCCAAGGATCTTATTTGTAGGCTTTTATGCAATGTTGAACAAAGGCTTGGAACAAAAGGAGCAGATGAAATTAAGGTGCTGTGCGCTTTGTTCAACTTCGAAATTCGAAGTTCCTTTATGTAAGATTATTCTGAGAAATCGTAATTAACGATTTGACTGGTTTCTTTCAGGGTCACCCTTGGTTCAGAGGTACCGAATGGGGAAAATTGTACCAAATGAAGGCTGCCTTTATTCCCCAGGTCAATGATGAGTTAGACACCCAAAATTTTGAGAAATTTGAAGAGGTAACATACTGATAATATCAGCTAATGATGTATATATTGAAATATTGGTGCAATATTTGCCACCAATGATGTGTCATGATGTATATACTGAAATATTGGTACCACAGATGATAAGGAAAATAATGTATACTCTTCTTTGATTCCTTCTGGAACAGACTGACAAGCAAGTTCCAAAGTCGGCCAAGTCAGGTCCATGGAGAAAGGTACAGCATAAGCACTGACTTTTTGGCATTATGTACCATCAAATTCAACCAGCTTATTTTTTTTATCTAGTAGATAAGTAAGAGCAACCATACTTCAAAATTTGTCTATAAGTGGGTTCCTCGAGATGTGTTGTGCTTTGATGATACTATAGACACATTTTAAAAGATTTCATGGATCAAAGAGCTCAGAATGATGAAATTTGCTCAGTTTCTGTCCCAGGCGTTTCTGTCGTTGTACTACATTCACAAAAGCGTGATTCACTCTTTTAGGTTCAAATCCTTATGGGAATTTAGAATTTGGAAGAGCTGCTTGGGATGCTATTAAAAAAAAGATGATGTTAATCTGCCAGTTGTGCATGTTAACGTGTGTTAGATGAAGCACATATCTTTTAGGACCAACATGATATAACTAAGAACCTGTTCTGTCATTAGAATCGGTATCATGAACCAAAAGGATTATTGTGAATTTCATAACATGACGTTGGCTTTCTTTTTTTTTTTTTTCTCCAGATGCTCTCATCCAAGGACATTAACTTTGTTGGTTATACTTACAAGAACGTAGAAATCGTAAATGATGACCAAATACCAGGGATAGGTATTTCACTTAACCCCCCCTTCCTTTGCTGAGGAAGAAGCAAACATTATTAGTAAATTGCCTTGTGATTATCATTGCTTGTTTGCTGCATTTGTAATCTTTTTTGCAGCCGAGCTAAAGAAGAAGAGCAATAAGCCAAAGCGTCCGTCGATTAAATCCCTCTTTGGTAAATCATTTGTTTGCATGCTATATATAAAAAAATCAAGATGATTACAATCGATGTTTGATTCTCTGTTAACCAAATTGTGGAAACTAAATGAACAGAAGATGAAACATCTGGTGGGCCAACAACCCACCAAGGAAGCTTCTTGAATCTATTGCCGACGCAGATTGAAGATCCAGAGAAAGAAGGTAGTAAATCGAGCTCATCCGGGTGATTTAACACATTTGCACAGCCTGAACCAGAGACTCTCTTCTTATATAACTTGTGTGTTGTTGATTTCTTTGAAAGCCTTTTGTGTTTCTCCAAAAGACTGTTAAAAGTTTGAGTTAGCAAATGGGGGTTTCAACAAAGTACAGTCTCTCCGATGGAAGCGAAGGCTGTCCCTGAGGAGAAAGATGGATTTGTTTAATTGTTTTCAACATAGAAAAGTGAAAGTAAATATTCTTTTCGGATTTGGCTTGTTTCACAGGGAGAGCTTTGGTATTTGATTTTATTTTTTGGTTAATCAAAACTTGGTTGTACTACTAAACCTCAAGATGAAATCTTCAATCTCTAGTCTCTAATGCTATAACCAAAATTATTTACTATTTTTGTTAGTTAAACTTTTTATTAATTTTTAAAAAACTTGTCTCACTGAATGTGTTTAATTGAGTACACTCAAAACGTGAAACGACAGCGGTTAAACCGAACAAACCGGTCGGTTATTTCGAATTTAAAAATTAACCGAAACAATTAGCAGATAAAGGACTTGAAGAAGAAGGGTAAGATCTTCTTCTCTCTTTCTTTCTTCTTGTTGCTGCGAACTCTGAAAAAGATGCAGGTATGTTCTCGATCCGAAACCCTAGCTTGAAAGAAGAAACAACCTAATTAGCTTCTTCTACCTTTGATTCGCTTTTTGTTTAATTTATCTATGCCGAGGAGAATTGGCTTAGACGAAATTAGGTCGATTATTTCTTATAGATGAAATCAGGAACAATTGCTAGAAATTTAACAACTTTGTATTTGGGTTTTTGTGCAGGCAAGTGATAGGTTTAACATCAATTCTCAGCTTGAGCATCTTCAAGCTAAATATGTTGGTACAGGGCATGCTGATTTGAGTAGATTGTGAGTTTCTTCTGATTTCATTGTTCAACTTTTTATCTGCGTTTTCGAATGAATGTTTTATTGGCTCCTAATTTGTGGAATTGTTTAAATTGTTCAGTGAGTGGGCTGTGAACATTCAGCGTGATAGTTATGCTTCTTACATTGGTCACTACCCTATGCTTTCATACTTTGCTATTGCGGAGAACGAGTCTATTGGACGCGAACGCTACAATTTCATGCAGGTTTGCTTCCTATTCTTTGTGTTACTACCAATCCTATCTACAGTTCAAGATTTGGATTATGATTCTATGTTTAGTTGATTAGGAGTGTGTATCATATGGTTAGGTACATATGTTGCATGGTGTTAGTTTAGTCAATGGCGTATTTGTCTAGTCGTCGTGATATTAGAGAGCATTGGCTTATTGTCTTACTCAAATGTTTTCATTTATTGGAATTACTGAATTCTTGGTTGCCTTTCGGTTTATTTGCCTCTTGCATGGTTGAATTGTGTGAATAGGTTAGAATTTCATAGCTTTGTCACTAGAGAATGGATGAGGCAAAGACAAGTACAGAGCTTTACGAATAAGATTAGAGAGCATTGGGTTATGGTCTTACTCATATGTTTTCATTTGTTGGAATTTCTGAATTCTCACATTGGCTTTCGGTTTATTAGCCTCTTGCATTGCTGAATTGTGTGATAGGTTAGGATTTCATGCAGGTTTGCTTCCTATTCTCTGTGTTACTAGGAATCTTATCCGTCAAACTCTGTAATTGCCTTTTGCATCATCCATTATCTAATGACAAAGCTACACTTCAAGGTTTGGATTATGATTCTATGTTTAGTCGCTTAGGAGTGTATCATTCCCTGTATCATTTGCTATATCTCTTTCCTTTTCCTTTTGAGATTCATTGGTTTGTTGTATGGTTTTAGTTTAGTCTTGTCAATGGCGTATTTTCCCTAGTTGTTTTGATATTTTCATTTCTTAGACTATATGGACTTCACTTTTAACTGACCAGTTAGCAGCCTCTGGTTCTGTAGGTTACAATTAGATTATAGAGCATTGGGTTATGGTCTCACTCAAATGTTTTCATTTGTCCTGAATTCTCAAATTACTGGACGCTAAACAGTTGTGAGCTCGCCTTGGCTTTCAGTTTATTCATGAAACAGGTCTCTTACATGGTTGAATAATTGTGTGATTATCGATCTTTTATATCTTAATATATGGTCTTCTTGACGATTAATCGAAAAGCATAGAAAAATATGATTATTTGTGGGGTGTTCTCTGCTCATAAAAATGGTCACACTTTGTAGATGTGATGATGTTTTGGAATAACTTGAGATGTCTTTTGATTTGCAGAAAATGCTATTACCCTGCGGCCTTCCTCCGGAAAGAGAAGACGAATAGAAGACATGAGGATTCGATTTGTCTTTCTACTTATCAAGAACTCGTCTGATGGAATATTGGTTTGGAGTTTTAAACTGTCAAATTTGATGTTCTGGTAGAGATTTATATGACTCTTAAAACACACAACTTTTGTGTGTCTGATACTTTGGTTTTCTTGGATGTAAAAAACAAAACACCTTGAATTCTATTATCTTTGTTTTGACATCTAACTAAACCGAACAATTTGTTTTGATATCTAACTTACCATACTAATTTGTTATTAATCATTATACTTCACATGTTTTTTTAATTATATTTTTGTGAAACAAATAAATCATATTGCCTATATTTTAATTTTAATTTTAGCTATTTTAATTTAATTATTGCTCTAAAATATTTTTACAATGAAATAATTTTTAAATTACTATTTTAACATATAAAAACTAATTTTGACGGTTTTGGCCAGAAAACCAAGAGTCTGGAATCCATGTGGACTCATCCACTTCATTACCTTGTCGAAACGGATACATTTATGAGCAATAATTTGTATTTATTAGTCGTTTTAAAACATTATAAATACAGAGTCACAAGAATTAGCCGTGTTTTTTGGGTTTATGAATTTGATATCCAATAGGGTAATTATAAACATTCAGACGTTCTAAAAGAAGAAAACTCCCACAAACTAATTTTTACGGTAGATCGTTCAAATATCTTTAATGACTTCTTTAAAAATCTGAGTGAGGCAGATTCTAGTCTATTTCATGGTGGTTTATCACCAGTGTTTAAGCACTAAGCAGCAACCATAGATAGTTATTATATAAACATATCAAAATTTACTTTTTTAAAAAATGGTTTTCATGTGAAAATCATTATATGATAAAACCATTATGGCGATATCAATATCTTAATTTTGCACATTGAGAGAAGTCAATCTTTTGTCATTTAGAAAATTCTTACAAATTTCTCGTGTACAGATTATGTAAATAACGATCTCTTAAATTTTCTAACTCACATATACACAAGTTAACGAGAATTAAACAATAATTCAAGTCTACAAACATCGTAACTTGTAGAATTAATTTTCAGTTATTTAAACCATAGATCTATTATTTATAATAGATTAATTAGATGTTCATAACCATAAACTTTGATACCACATGTTAAACATACTTTTAACATGAATCCTAAGATCTTATACATCTATATCAATCACATAATAGAATCATAAAGAGAATTAGAGTAATGCATTCACTCATTGTAAAAATGATGCTTACTTGAATGGTTCATAGAAAATGAAGCTTTTTTGATCAATGGTTTGTGTACTTGAAAATAAAACTCTTAGATATTTAGGTAGTATAAATATTTCTCTTGTAAGTGTTGTTTTTTTGTTCATGATGATATGTGATGGAGCAAAACATCTATTTATAGGAGGGGAGATGACCTTATTCCTCATTAGGGTTTTGTCTTTTAATTTAATCTCAACTATCCAGAGATTTTATGCTTTCATTTCTCAGACGACTGTTGCTAATGGAAAGTCAGCATTAGACAATTATTTGGATGAACCGGTTTTGGATATGGTGGCATTTAAGAGCATGGATATATTGGCATATTGGAGAGACAACACAAACCGGTTCAAAGAATTGTCTTCTATGGCATGTGATGTCTTGAGCATTTCCATTACAACAGTAGCTGCAAATTCATCATTTAGCATAGGAAGCCGAGTGTTAAACAAGTATAGGAATTCACTTCTTCCTTCAAATGTGCAAGCATTGATTTGCACAAGGAATTGGCTGCGTGACTTTGAAGAGATTAGTAAGTGTCTGTGCTTATTTTCTTTTGACATATTTGAATCAATTTGAATCTTATTGCAAAGGTCTTTTTCTGCTGCACTTCAGTGTTCCAATTGAATTCCTTGATGAAGACAAAGGTGTGAAGGAAGGAGAAGATGAAGTTTAAGACATTTGTGAAGGAAGGAGAAGAAGTTCACATTTATGTGTTTGCTTTTTGGATTTGATACTTTGTTGCTATGATTTGTTTTTGGATGTGATACTTTGTTGTTTATTTGGATATTTTTTGTCTTAGATTTTTGGATTGAATTTGATATTTTTGCAGATTTTTGCGTTTTTCATAATTTGTTCTAGTGGTGACCAATGAACAGCCCATTTGGACATGGGCCTTAATGAGCATGTGCTATAATGAACATGGGCTATAATGGACATGGACGTTATTTGTCCATAACTAAAATGGTCAATATTGGACCGAGCTAATGGACGTGGACAGCCCATTTTGACACTTCTAACTATCCATCAAAATAGAGATGAAAACATTGGTGACAAGTGTGAAGACAAGTGTCTAGCATTGGTTCTTTAACTTGGTCCCAAAGCTTTCATAGCTTTCTCTCCAAATTATTAACCTTTCTCTCCAAACTATTAACCTAAGCATGACATGTAGCTTAACACTTGTCCTCTTATGATCATAACCACTTGTCTTCTTATTGTCCTCTAAACTCATTAGGAATTTAAGTCCTTAATAACTAATTCTATTGGTTACCAACTGTTTATGAAAATTATAATAATCCCATAAAAAACCAACTAACTATAAGACCACATACATGGGTAAGAATTAATTTTTATTTTTTACATTTATATCCCCATTGAAGTCTCATGCCAATGTCACATCTCCTCCACCGAAAGAGAAAGTGGAAGTAATGAGTGTTGGAGTGTATGTAGCAGTAAAATCGAGTCATGCCCCGTCGATTGAGGCATAGCTTATGCTCAAGTAGTTGGTGGTATCACCTTTTGCGTAGTTAGTCCACCGAAACTTTAACGTCTACTAACGATTCATGAACTTGATAAGTCTCGCTGCAGACTTTGGGTTCATCTCCCACCGTTCTTCAAAAAGAGGTAGAGTCTACGGGTTCCCACCATCTTGAAAGCTTTGAGCCATGTAACAACTTCTTTATCATCATTTTTCCCTACAAAACCGACTAACTCCCTAACCAAACCAATAAAAATGTCCACATGCTAACTTGCTAAGAATCTAAAATTTGTAAACACAAGTTAACAAATAATTAACGCATATATAAAACTGCATAAATCTTGTAAACACACACATAAAACACAAATAATTTTTCAATTTACTCACAATCTTAAACTACACATTATATTATAGTAAAATTCAAAGATATAAGTTTCTCAAAACGCCTAGAAGATTATACTAGCCATGAAACAAATAAATTTTAATCTTCGCACAATCTTAAACTGCAGTATCACATTGAAATTATTGATTTACTAGATTTACGGTTCTAAATAATTATTCGAGATTTTGCGAAATATAAGAATATTAATAGTGTTGATTTTGTAAATCTTTCCATAAATATCGCACAAATGTGTTGATTTTAAAGTGGCAAAAATGGCAAATATATAAGATTTGAGTGAAAATGTTGAAAATGGACTTATGTTAAAGTATATATATATATATATATATATATGCGTTTATTCCCAGCGAATGCGCCAAATGGATCTATGCGTTTTGTCAATTAATAATCTAAATGTATCAACGATCTATCGCATAAGTATTTTAGATATCGAACTACAAGGAATAAAGATTGGAACACTAGAGGAAATGGTTTTTATGCTTTTGTTTTGATGAAAAGATCAAAAATGCAAGAAGTAAAATACAGAAAAAGCATTAGACCATGGTTTAGCTATCATGAGATGAAAGATCTGGCAATAAGCAACCTAAATCATGATTTGTCCTAATTTAGCATTACCCATGATCGAACAAAAAGACTAACTACTAAACATGATTAAAAACAAAGAAAAGACATAAAGATAAAGATAAAAGATAGATTTGAATAAACCTTCACTAAAGTGAAATAGATTGTCGAATATCAATCCAAAATATCAAGAAGAGAGTTTGGATCTAAATCCAACTCTAGAGAAGATAAACTTAGATTAAAAATGTCTAAAATTTGGTTAAATACAAGATAGGTTCGGACCGGATCGACCCGGGACAAACTAGGTTGTGACCCGATAGCAATTTGGATCAAAGCTAAGAAGGAGATGGCTTCGGCTGTGTTGGACGAAGATGGTGGTCGGAGAGGAGCTTCGTTGGTGTTGTGGCCGAAGGTGGAAGTCGAAGAGGCTTATGTCCGTTTTCAAGAGAAGTTTCTAGATGAGCTTCTTCTCTGATCCAGATGGACTTATGTATACGAAAACAGTCGTAACTCTCGACCATTAATTAGCTTTGATTGGCATGAAATCACCTCCATTGGAAAGCGAACTCAATTTCCTATAACTTGTATGAAGATCTCCGAAGCTAAATCTTCAATTAAAGATCTTTATCCGAGTCGATCTTTGCGGAACTTTGGGCTGGTTCTGAATCATCAATTATCTTCTTTGCATCCAAATGTATGTCCTCCATTATTTTAACCTCAAATACCTCAAAACACACCAAAATACACACAAAAACACTATATGACTTCTAAAATGTAAAAAGATTCATTTAGACACTAAATGCAACAAAACACAATAAAACTACTAATAAAGCACAATAAAATGGATCTTAACAACCATGATAAAAATGAAAATATAGAGTATATCAGTAGACACACGACATTTTATTTTTCAGACAATGAGTGAACGAAAGGGTCGTTCGCCCTAATATTATTCTCTCTCGCCTCCTGTCTTAACACTAAGCTGCCGTTGAGTTTATGACCGGCGCGTGGCGGCTCATATAGAGCCGGCGTCGGTCATCTCCTTTATATTTCTGCTTAGTTTTTCATTTCCTGTCTCTGGCTCCTTCGGTGAGGAAGCGTGAAGGTTTTTGCGATGGTGAGTGGTGGGTTCGAGAATCTGATCTAGTGAGATTAGGCCATGGTTTACAGATCTGTCGGATCTGTTGGTTGCTAGTGTGCTCGGGTCGCCATCTTTGTTCGCGGGTCATGGAGTGGTGCCACGGTAATGCTCTGTTCTTTCCGGTGGTTGGCTTCGCTGAGTCTATGCGACATGGGGGCTCTTTGTTTCTTCTTGCGACGGCTCGTTCTATTCTCTCCTTGGCGATTCTGTGCAACATTAGATCGATTATTCGATTTCTCGGTATCTCCCTCGTCTTTACTGTCTTCCTCCTTGTTTCGCCTATTTGCTCTGATCAGATTGTATCTGTGTGAGATCTGGTAACATCAGTTGCTTAGGTTTAGTTGTTTC